TGACGAGATCACTCGCGGACAAAAAAGTACCCAGGAAGAAGAAGAAGAAGAAAAATAATAACTAGACTCTTGTTGCCATGGCAACAAAAAAGTCTTCCGTTCTTCTAAATCTGTAAGAATTTGCTTTTTTCTGTGTAAAAAACATACATATCATATTTACTGTGAAAGAAAAAAATAACTGGAAAAAAGTCCTTTCAGTACTTAAGGTACTTTGATTTTCATTATCAATCTTGTATAATACATTTGGCACCTATAAGAGATATACGTATATCATTAGCAATTTAAAAAAAAAATGTTTGCAATCATTTCTAAGACAAACAAACAGACGAACGAACACCGTACTATCATAAACTTCACTGTGTGTATGTTTTGGCATAATTGTGATGGTGTTTTAAAAAAATATAATGAATTAAGTTAGTATCACATTAAACGTAAAGTCACTGAGTTTTGTAAAGTTATAATATCAAGATTTGACAACATACCTATAAGACAAATTATTCAATTACATTTATTCTTCAGCAATCGATTGATTGATTGATTGATTGATTGATTGATTATACGTATGTTGTTTAACGTCCCTCTCCAGAATTTTTCACTCACATGGAGACGCCACCACTCGCCGGTGGAGACTGTAAATTTTTGTCCTATACTTTGGCATTTATCGCAATTGAGCAGTGGGGAATCTTTTTTATGCCAGCATCTTCTGCGACAAGGGACCTCGATTTATACGATCTCATCCAAAGGACCGGTCTCCACGTCCCACAGTCGAAGTTCATAATACCGAGATATTTTATTTTTTATTTTATTCTATTTTTTTTTCACAAGTTTGTTGCAGCAGATTTACTTAAAGATCATACTTCAAGATCATTTCGAACTCAGGCTACTTAATTGCAGTGCATACAGCGTCAAGTGATTTTGATTGACAGGTCAACACACGTGCACTTCGTGTGATACTTTTTAAGCTGAAAAATATACAGGATGTGACCATGACTGACTATGAAATCAGAAAACATCTAATAAAGAATGGGTGTGACCGATAAAGAACTAAGTTTTGGTCTGGATCGGGATTAAGAGGTTATCTCTCCTCTCTCTCTCTCTCTCTCAGACATGTAAATTGAACATTTCATAATTATAAAATATGAAATTCTGTATACATGTAAATGGTAATGTTATTCACATGTTCCAGATTTAAATCTAAAACGAATATATAATTCAAATTCAAGACGGGGGGGGGCTTCAAAGGAATTAGATAATTTTATGAATTACAAGGAAAAGTACGAACGTCAGTTGCATGTACATGATTATATATTATTGCATAAAATTGTGTTCATTCAGATATACTTATCCCACATATCAACAGACTTGTACAATTTTTTTTATCATGTTTTTTTTTCCCAAAAGAAACATATAGCGTACCATTATTTCACACACTCTTTAACTCTTTGAGTATTTCACAAGAATCCAAGAATCGCCTTTTCACATCTTTTATAATTCCTTGGGTATATAGAGTATAGATCATGTGTCATAAATAATTTAACCTTTTATCAGATATATATGTAATAACCAAATCTAATCTATAGATTGATTTTCTTTCTTTTCAGTGGCAGATATCAATTTATTTATAAAGGCTTTAAAACAGTACTGTATTACAATTTTCTATCGCTTAATTCCTTTTTTGAGTGTATGTAATATTTTTTAATATCGAAAGTAAAACTCGGAAATCGGGATAATTTCGCATTCAGATCATAGAGAATAATAAATCGTCTGCATTATAGAAGGCTTATAACTATCGTATTCTGAACTTAATATACGAAATAGATAAAACTGCATGCCTGTCCATCACTATAAATGTATATTCAGTGCTTATAATATATTTACTTGAATTAGCTACCTAGCATATATATATTAATTTTTTTTTAGATATATTCATGTGTAAATTAACTAACTGTCAATACAGACTTACACTACACTGGCAACTTCAAACTTTACATGCACTGGAAGCGGTAACCAACGTCCTCTTAAATTTTGAAGAGTGAATATAGAACGTCTAAATATTTTGATATGGAGAGTGTATATGTCTCTAACGTCATCGATACTATTTCCGCCTTTATCTCGAAAGTTCTATTCTCACTTACAAGTCAGAGTTATCTTTCTTTGCCCATTGTCTACACACTAGGTAAATAGGGAAAATGAGGGTACCGAAAATCTGCAAAATGTGGAATCTGATTTCAAAACAAATTATATATTTAGTATTTGTAGAATAACCTCTGTTATACATAATAATATCTTGAAAAAATATTAAAAAACAAAAAAGTTGAAAATTGACCAAACACAAGTTCACTTCCGGTTCGGACAGGAAGTACCGGAAACACACGAAAACAACTTCGAAACAAAGAGAATGTCATGATCTAATACCCCTGTAAATTTCACATCTTTACCTCAAACCGTTTCCGAGAAAAATTCCGGACAAAAGTCCATTTAAAAATTGGAAATTCGGCCGTAACTTCGGACCGGAAGTGAATTTTTCAAAAAACGGAATTTTATATAAACTTCATATGTCAGCCTACTATCATGTGAAAAATTGTGAAAATCTATCCAACCATCTCTGAGTAATCGCGCTCACAAAATTTGGGAGGAATAATAATAATAATAATAATAATAATAAAAAGAAACAATACAATCACTATAAGTCTTCCGTTGTGAACGGAAGACTTAATAATAATAAGAAACAGAGTAAAAACAATATGTTCCCCAACTTCGTTTGGGGAACATAATTAGGGCCCCGCTCTGCGGGCGCCCCATAGTGATCAGTCTGTCCGTTCGTCCGTCCGAGATCTCTTGTCCAGAGCATATCTTTTATCTCCTTGGCCCAATCTGGCTCATACTTCACCCACAGAGTGTCTTTGGGTAAAGGGTGTACAGTGACCTTGAACCATGTTTCTAGGTCTAAGGTCAAGGTTATAGCAGAATTATATAAAAAAAAAAACCTTGTCCGGAACATATCTTCTCTCCTCTTTGTCCAATGTGACTCGTACTTCACTCACAGAGTGCCACTGGTCAATGGATGTGCAGTGACCTTGAACAAAGTTTCTAGATTAAGGGTCAAGGTCAAAAATAGACTCTCTGTTTAAATTCTTGTCCGGAGCATATTTTCTCTCTCCTTGGCCAAATCTGCTCATAGTTCACCCACAGAGTGTCTGGGTAAAAAGCATGCAGTGACCTTGAACCATGTTTCTAGGTCTAAGGTCAAGGTCATAGCAGAATTATATATATCTGAAAAATCCTTGTCCTGAGCATATCTTCTCTCCTCTTGGTCCAGTGTGGCTCATACTTCACTCACAGAGTGCCACTGGTCAATGGATGTGCAGTGACCTTGAACAAAGTTTCTAGGTCAAGGGTCAAAAATAGCCTATCTGTTTAAACTCTTGTCCGGAGCATATTTTCTCTCTCCTTGGTCCAATCTGGCTCATAGTTCACCCACAGAGTGCCTTTGGGTAAAGAGTGTGCAGTGACCTTGAACCATATTTCTAGGTTTAAGGTCAAGGTCATAGCAGAATTATATGAAAAATCCTCGTCCGGAGCATATCTTCTCTCCTTTTGATCCGATGTGGCTCATACTTCATTCTCAGAGTGCCACTGGTCAATGGATGTGCAGTGACCTTGAACGAAGTTTCTAGGTCAAGGGTCAAGGTCAAAAATAGCCTCTCTGTTTAAAATCTTTGTTTGGTGCATGGTTTCTTTCTCTTAAGTCCAGTCAGCCTCAAACTTTACCAATTGACTTAGGGTACAGAACATTTGTGATTTTCCTTCCATATTTTGATATATATGCAACAGTTTTCATAGAGGATATGCAACATTTGTGATTTTTGTGCCGCTTTTTGATAGAGGGTATGGAGCACTCGTGATTTTCATGCCATTTTTTATTATAACAAGGATGACAAAGAAGCCCTTTAGACTCAAACAACACATCCCTTAATAGTACACAAGTGTTCCTCTTCAAAATAAACCATTTTCAGCTACTTTACTTTTTCATGTTCGTTGCTGAAAGCAGGGCCCATCTCATTGATATCTAGTTATAAATTAAATTGAAAATTAACCAAAGCTATGAATATAGGATTATTTTTTTATATATTTATTTTGTTTATTTTTTCATCATTATCATTTTTGGTTTGCTAGATTTGCTTTATTACTAAGATCATGGAAATAAGCCATCTGATTATTTTTTCTTTTCGATCGAAGGTAAAAAAAAAAAAAACCCTTATTATAGTAGAATAACGAAAAAGACATTTGTCATATTCCTGTAAAACACAAGACGTTGACTTGAAAACTTCCTATGGTAAAAACACGAAATCGTCAAAAGCTCTTCACTGTAAGAAATCTGACATACAATAAAGTCTGAAAGAATGGGTGGACTTCAGAGTACTGAAAAAAGCCGTAAATTGAAGTCTCATAAAATGTTTATTTCTTTCCATAATAAAATTCACCGATATCTTAACTGTATTTTTGCTACAGATATGAAATTAAAACACTCTTTTCGCGGAAAACTAAATAAAAACTTAGGCACGGGACCCGAAGATATATTGAATATCAATAAGTAATCAGCCTGAGAGTCACGCTTTTTTCATCGTCTGAATACATAGTCAGCGCATGTTTGACGCTTGTTCTTAAAGCTGACATGAACTCTTAAATAGGCATTATTTTCATCCTTGTTCGAATTATTTCATTCCTGTACGACCCTTTCCGCCATATTTCTTTGATTCCGCCATATTTATTTGGGAACCTGTACCTGCTATATAAAGGTATCACACCGGTAATTGACCAATCAAAATGAACTTAGTCAATTGTAGTTCCATACATATAAAATGGATTTTCCTTTCTTTTGAGAGTTTTTTAATTTTTTTTGCCAAGCCATTTTTACAACTTTGGTACCTGTGCGTAGTAAATTTTATGCACTTTGAAAATAAATAAAGGTTTTTGACAGGAACTATTTTTTTTTTCAGGGCATAGGAGGCTACTTCCTGTGGTGCACTCAAGATGTTTATAAACACATTGAAAACGCGTGGATTTAAAGGTAGCCCTGTTTGCAGATGGAAAAAGTCAGAAAATTCCGTGTAGGTACCCTGTTATTTGGTGTCAGCTAATGTGACAGGTAATGTTTAACACCTCCTTGTGAATATTTTTTCATGAATGAAAATACCTGATTTTTTACGATTTTTATGCTATATAGAATTATATAGTGAAAACAATTACCGGTGTGATACCTTGAAGGTGATTATGAAAAATCATCTAAATCCATATAAATGATATTTTTCATTTTTAAAGGGCACATTTTAACAAAATATGTCATTTTATTAACTTTTTGTGTGAAAGCACACAATTTTTAAATTAGAAGTAGGATTTATATTATTTTACACAGATTTCTATGTAAATATTAACAAGAGGTTATTTTTTACAGTCAATACTTAAAAGTATGACCTAAAAAGTAGGATTATACATCTGAAATGTAGAAAGAAGTCAGAAAATGTTGGTTTTTTGTTTTAGATGACTTTAAATTATTTGCACTAGCTAACCGCAGTCAATTATAGTGTCTACAGACTTTGCCGTAAAGGTTGTTAAGGCTGATTTTTCAAGGAAAGACTAATTTTAGGTTTGCGAATGAGTTTTCAGCACAAGCGACAACTGCGATAAAATGTGAGCAAGTAAAACATGTTTTCACAGAATGATATTTTTTACAGAGACATGAATTACTTTAATTTTATTCACCTCCAGTGATGCATATATATTACTGCATTATGGAGAATTAGAAATAATGAAATGAGTTAAATTTGTCTAATAAATGTAATGCATAAATAATATTTATTTAGAATTTTTCACAGGAAAGAAGGTTATGACCAAAAAATCCATAAATACTGTCAGGGCCTGCAAGTGAATACTTATTCTGAGTTCTAACCATGCATCATACATGTAGTACAGAATGTCACTTAGCACCATGGTATGCCTTTTATGGTTCTCTGGACTTTTTTTCCCATGCTTTCGCAGCTGACATTCATGTTTTTTCAGTTTGTCGGAGACTGTTTTTTGTTATTTTTTAACTTATATGTAGGTATTGACTCTCACATATGAATTAAGTCTCAGTCAGTGATGCTTATTTGAGCATGATCTATAAAGCATATCAATGTACTGAAATATTAATAAATTGCAAATTTAACTGATAAAGAAATTTGGCATATTTCCATAACTAAAATATCAGAATAACTATAATTCAGCTAATAAAGTACCCCCTTCTTCTCATTTCACTTCCTATAAATTTTATCAGCAGGTTTTTGTACACCCACCCACCTCCAAGAATCATGGAGGATGTCCTGAAACTAGTCTCTGTGATGCATTTTGTCACATATAAAAGTGTTCAAACTCAAAAATGTTTAAGAGTTATATTTTAAAATTTAAATGTTTAATTTTTATGTAAATTTGGTGAAACAAAAAGCTTTAATCTTGCATAAATCATGCAAATTCATTAAACACCTTTGGAATTCCTGAGTACATCAATGAAAAGAGAATAATTATGCATGTTCAATTGAAATTTCATGGCTAATTTGTGTCTGAAGAGAAAGCCATTTACATAAATCACAACAATAAATTACATCTGAATTGTTTTCTCCATTTTCTTATCATCAAAGCCAGTTTATGGAGTGTGGGAGCTGTCTAGAACCTCCCTAGATGCTGATATCATTTTAACTGCCCTGTGTTACAACACAGCATTTAGATAAACTTCTGCACAGCAACTTGTAGACAAATACCTAGGCTTTATTTGGAACATAAATTGACCAGATGCAGATTTTTTTTTATCAACCCAGTATTTAACAATTTTTGTAAATTATGTCATTCTTTGAAGGGTAAAATGCAACTTTGTTATGTAATAATTACATAATGATCTCAGACTTGCAAACTCTTTTGTTTGTTGTGAAGAACAAAGCATATACTCTCCACAGATAAAAAGTTGGTTGCCAAGCTTATTCTTTTAATGATGAAATTCTGCTTCAAAAGATTCCCCAAAAAACTTCTTTCAGAGTGCTCTGTGTGTATTCCTGACTGCTCTGGAGTAAGGGAGATAAATGCATCATATCTTCAGAAATAAGGGGATTTAGATCACCAGACTTAAGGATGTTGGTGACAATTATTTAATGAATCTCAGGTGCAAAAATGGAAAAAATCTGACTACATCAAAGGTCCTTCAAGGTATCACACCGGTAATTGACAAATCAAAATGAACTTAGTCAATTGTAGTTCCATACATATAAAATGGATTTTCCTTTCTTTTGAGAGTTTTTAAATTTTTTTGCCAAGCCATTTTTACAACTTTGGTACCTGTGCGTAGTAAATTTTATGCACTTTGTAAATAAATAAAGGTTTTTGACAGGAACTATTTTTTTCAGGGCATAGGAGGCTACTTTCTGTGGTGCACTCAAGATGCTTATAAACACATTGAAAACACGTGAATTTGAGGGTAGCCCTGTTTGCAGATGGATACAGTCAGAAAATGCCGTGTAGGTACCCTGTTATTTGGTGTCAGCTAATGTGACAGGTAATGTTTAACACCTCCTTGTGAATATTTTTTCATGAATTCAAATATCTGATTTTTTACGATTTTTTATGCTATATAGAATTATATAGTGAAAACAATTGCCGGTGTGATACCTTGAACCCCGATGCGATGCATTTGTTACACTTGAGTGATTTTCTAGCCTGGCTGTTGACATGAACACATCTCCGATAGCACAGTTTTGGGACACACCATGAACTTAGCAAAAACATGACATGTTTAAAACATAAAAATCCATCCAAAACTATAACTTCTTAGAAGTAAATAAATTTTGAATACTGTAGCTGCAATGTAGAGAAATCCAAAATGGCATGTGCATGTTTTCATGCACATAAATATCAGAACAATAAACAGGAAAGGGCTACCCAATGCATCTTTTCCGATTGCACTGTACGTACTGTTTGGGCTTTTTGCACGATACACCGTATTTGCATATATTATGCATTCATGTGCAATAAATTTAGCTGTTTGGATATACATGCCGAGAAAATGCGTCGAACGTTGTGGTAATCACATTTACCTGAAATATTGCTCACGTTACAGGAATGTGCACATGTCGAGAGAATGACATCCTAGTTTACTTTTATTGAAATATGCATCACAGAAGTAATAAATCCATTTATTACTCAAGGGTAAACACATTGTCACTGTATAGCACTTGGACAACGTGGTCCCTGCCGATCAGCTTTTTTGGATAGGAAACTGTCAAAGGGGGAATCTTACTGGTATATAACGTGATTGGACAAACTACGCAAACAAAATGTTTTACAAAACAAAAATTACTGTTGTATGTAGATGTAATAAATTATATTAATAAATGCTGCAAAATTACATAAAATTTACCATATAAATATGATTTATTACGAATCTTACATCTTTTAAAGAGAATGTCTTAAGAAGGGGGGGGGGGGTAAATGAAACGTGCATAACATTCTTCTAAAAATATTTTAAACAAACGTCGGGAAAAGATAGGATTTTTTCACGATCAAATATATTCAAATTAGTACAATGTACTGGGTTCAACTGTTTTAGATATAAAACTAATTTAACTTGTATACAAGTAAGTTATACACTATAAACCATTTTGATTCTTTAACTATAATATAAAGCTCACTATGACATCATGACAAGCTGCATTAGTTTTCTTTGGAACATCCGAGAAGATTTGATGATACTCATTCATCAAGTTTTTAACTTGTTCTTTTTGGTGAATGTTCAAATGTCCAAGCTTGGCATCAAAATCAGCCAAAATTTCTGAGTTTTTCAAACGGGCACTCTGATTACAATCTTTCTCATTCAGCTCTACACTCATATCACTTTATATACAATTTTGAACTGTCATAGCATTGGCTAAAGTGGAAAATGGTTTAACAAAATTCCGGTCACACCTTTCAGAGTACTCTTTTAACATGTTAATGTGACAAACCCGTTTCTCTTTTCGTCGACCTGGTGTCTTAACTACGTAGTTTACATCACTAATCTTGCTTTCAATTTCACAAGGGCCGTAATATCTGGCCTGTAAAGGATGACCAGGAACAGGCAAAAATACAAGAACCTTATCACCTGGCTTAAAAACTCTGTTCCTGGCATCTTTGCCATACCATACTTTCATCTTGACTTGAGAACTCCTGAGGTTTTCTTCCGCTAATTTGCAAGCATTGTAAAGTTTTTCTTTGAAATCTAAAAGATTAAGATCACTTCTCTCAGTCAACCACTTCTCCTTCAACAACTTCAAAGGACCCTGACCGTATGACCAAACACCAGTTCAAAGGGACTTAACCCTAGAGATTCCTGAACAGCTTCTCGTGCAGAAAATAGAACAAGGTGAAGCCCTTCATCCCAGTATTTTTCATACCGGTAATAATATGTCCTCAGCATAGTTTTAAGTGTCTGATGAAAGCGTTCCAGCGCTCCCTGGGACTCAGGATGGTAGGCCGTGGATCTATACTGCTTGATGGAATCTTCTGATTTGGTTTACCTACCAACGACAAACATGACAAGACTTGAAAAAATCAGAAACATCTTTCCTCAACTTAGGCCAATAAAAATGACTCAAAATCTTACTACTAGTCTTACTGACACCTAAATGATCTCCCATAGGTGTGTCGTGAGCTAAACTCATGACGTCCCTACGATATGCAGCTGGAACCACTATCTGGTGAACAACAAGACACAATTCATCTGGTGGTGCGTCAGGTGGTTGCCATTTTCGCATTAGGATGCCGTCTTTCATATAGAAGCACTCTCCAACTTTGGTGGCCTCTTCTGGTGGAAGCGCCCTCATACCAAGCTGGATAATGCTGGGGTCTTTATGTTGCTCAGAAAGTAGCTGCTCTCGGCTAAGGATATCTTTGCCCTGGTTTAATGGCGAATTCGACCCATCGACTTCATTAAGTATTGGCGGAGACTCATTTTTGACAGGTTGTTTGGTATTGCATGGTTTCATTTCAAGTTTACTGTCATCAAGGTCAGAGTAAAAAGAGTCACTCTGGTCAATATCGTCAGATGAATTAGACATATCAGTAGCTGGAGTATGGTCAGCCTCGATTTCTCGTCTTCTGGGCCTTTGCTCTGGTAACAACACAGGCTAGATACAAGTCGTCGTCTTCATCACTTGACGCGACATCAGGCGTGATTTTCTCACAAACTATGGGAACTGGTACAACTTTGCCACCGGCTAAATCGTTTGCCTAGCAACAAGGAAACGCCTTGAACTGGAAGAGTAGGTCGAACTCCTACAGTAACAGGTCCAGTAATTAAATTTGACTTCAAATGAATTCTATGTAGGGGAATATCAATGACACCTAGCTCAACACCCTGTAGTAAAACTGACCCACCAGTAGAAGTCTGCTCAGACAAAGGCAACACACCATCTAACAACAAAGCATCAAGAAATATTACTTTGAGTTCAATACGTATTTCTTACGAAAATTGTAGAATTTGCAAGAGAGTTGACAACTCATTTTCAATGATTAAGATGTTCATTCTATGTAATTCTATACGAGAAGAAGAAAACACTTGCTGTGGCATTCAACTCGACATTTAGATATGTCGACGAGGTATTATCAAATAACAAAAGTAACTTCCCTTCACATGTAAACTTGATATAATCCTAGTGAAATTGAAATAAAAGACACCACAAAGTCTGTCACAATTGTCTCATTTATGCTATAGACGATAAGGGCCAACTAACAACTAATTGTATGACAAACGAAACGACTTAAGCTTTTCTATCGTCAACTTTTTTTGATTAATTAAGTAATATCCCGCTATCATCTGCATATGGTGTTTACATCAGTTAACTCAACATGTTCCGATTACGATCAGTTTTAAAACAACGGCAGGTTAATGACAGATAAGTTAATGATACAGGGATTTCAACAACCACGTTTATACATGTACTCAGCATTTTGTTTATCAGGTAATCTGTGGTCGTTATAATGACCTTGTTAGCAAATATAACTTATCATTGGGTCGTATTTTGTTTCATACAAATTGTTAGGCTTTTGTTTTTATACTGAATTTGACTACAAAATGTTCCGTCCATCTGATCAATACAAAGGGCTCACGGCGGGTGTGACCAGTCAATAGGGGGTACATACTCCTCTTAAGCACGTGATCCCACCTCTGAAATTTCCAGGGGTCCATGTTTTATGCCCTCTCTTCACATATTTGTATTGTTTATAGATTTCTTTTAGATTGATAACTGTTATCTTTACCTTTTTCATTTAAAGCTAATACAGAGTCCTTAGAGTGCAAAAAGTATCTTTTTCTATATAGCAAATTGCAAAAGTATCCCCAAATTTCAAAACGAGAATTATAGAATGACTTAGGAAGTTAACAGTGTGTCATAAATATGGCACAGAATAAACCTTGTTCACAATATTGTACCACCGGGTAGATGACAATAAAAGCTCTGGTACAAGTTTTTGAAAACGGTTTCCATTGCAACGGGGATAGCTGATCAATTTAAAATATTTTAATTGCCTTAACACTTTTTATAGTAAATACAGACATTTTATAAACAGGGACCAGCAATGGCCCAAGCCATATAAAATTCTTTCAGAGCAAAAATTATAGCCTGGACTTAATCAGTGGGAAGTTTACTGTGTCATAAACATGGCAAAGATACGGGACACTGGGGCAACTGGGACCCATGAACATTTTTTCTTTATACTGTATATAAATAGCAAGTTGTCGCCCGTCGCTGGAAATCTTTTATCAATCAACATTGCCTCCGTTTTGAAACAAAGTCAGCCACCGGGAAATTTTTGTAGACACACCGAGTGGTTTTTGGATACGCTGATACCAAATATTACTTACTAAGTAAACGTTATAGGAACTATCTCTTTTAATCAATTATTTCTCAGAAAATTACTTCAAACAATTGATCAAATGAGCACGTATAGGAAGGTAGTCTTTCATACTAAGCTGTTCGTCAGTTTCTATAATTTTTTTTAAATTCAAGATAATTTTTTTCGGTATTTGATGAAAACATTTCTTTGTGTATATTAAGTAAATAAATATGATACATGACGTCATTTGTACAATATATCAACCTTGCACCTGTAGCCCTATGTTATACTCAAAATGACAAATATTCAGGAATATTATTGTTTATAGATATATCACACACTTATGTTTTAAAAAATTGTATAGCCACAGATTATTAAAAGTAAAATCGATTTTGTTTTTGATTTATGCATTAAATACAGAGTTAACAATTCATTATGAAGTCAGAATTCTACATATTCTACTTACGTGGTTTTGTTTACATCTTTATATTAAAAACTCAGTTAATTAATATTTGTCAAAAAAACAAAAGGCAAATGTGTTTTTAAATAGCATTTCTCGTGTTTTATAAACTACAAACTGAATTATCTAACCAACTGTAAGATAATTTATAATTTATATGGAAATAGGGCTACTGTATTTCATAAATAGATTGGGGTATGTGGAACAGCAAAAAATTCATTATAAGCGTTTTGTCTATTTACAGTAAAACACGCTTATAACAAAGTGTCAGGGGCGGACGATTCGTTATAAATTCATTATAAGCGTGTTTGCTACAACCGTGTTTTATACTGTATTATGT